GCGCGTGGGATTCGTCAATAGTTGACGAGTGATTAGATATAGCAGAGAGAGCGTAGTGTTGAAGAGGGCACAGCGATGAGAGTCGCATCAATGCGCAAATCAACGGGCAAGGAAGGGGTCCCATTTCTCGGGTTTCGGGCCGTTTCAAATGGTTTCTTCTTCATCCCTGCTCCACTGACCACCTCTACCCTTATTTCCAATGAGCTAACTTTTCATCGCAAATTCTGCCTTTAAGCATCCAAAATTAACGGTCATAGATAGCCGGTAGGAAAAACATACTCACCAAAAAACAGAAAAGGAAGCGAAGGCATATTCTTCATTTCGCAAGTAAACTTTTACTAACCGGAAATGGCGATCCTGGTATCGCAACACCCTTCAGACTGGCGCTGATATGATGTTTTCCTGCTGTTTTTGGTACGAAACTGTAGCCATAAATGCCTTTATCGATTTGGGAGCCACTGAGTGGTACAAGTGATAGATCTTTATCCAAAACTTCTACTGATGGAGCATCGTCGCTTGCTGAAATGAGAGTTTTTCAAGCGTACCCTACGTACAGGAAAAAAGCCCACCTCCAGTATTTCGAGTGTCAATCCGGAAAGAGGCTGGTTCGCCAGGAATAAAATAGGTGCCCTGATCAATGCCAGTGAGCTGGGCCGCTGATGGGTGGAAGCCAGCTATGGCTGGCTCAACCTTCAAGACGAAGGGAGACTCGGCTATGTGTTCACCTCCTGCTAGGACATTGACCTTGTAAACGCCAGGTTGCTTGGGCTGAAAGAATAAAATTGACGGTGTGTTCAACTGCAAACTATGAGAAGAGTTATCATTGAACCATATTATTCAGAAAAGTAACAGGAAAATTTAGTCTAAATGTAAGTAAATGCTCATTGATAGCAAAGAGCTAGCCAATTCTGCTCCTGATGGATATCCACATTTCTATTTATTTATTTATCAGCGAGTTTTCTATCAAAAACTTGATTAAAGTATCAATCATGGTATCAAGCTGACTGCGTGTACCATGAAGTTGTACGAGCGACTGGTCGACTCGAAACTGCGGGAGCTGGTCCCGATCTCCCAGGAACAGTTCGGGTTCATGCCGAAAGGTCTACAACGGATGCCATCTTCATCGCAAGGCAAGTGATGGAGAAGTATCGAGAAAAGCGCCGACCCTGCTACCTAGCCTTCCTCGACCTGGAGAAGGCGTTCGACCGGCTACCGCGAGCAGTACTATGGAGATCGCTTAGGGAACGGAACGTCCTGGTCTCGCTG